ACATGCTTAGCTTAGGCGTCCTGGCGTATTAAAAATTTGTCAGCTTGGCACTTTTATAGAACTCGGTCAGCTATGAAGAAAAAGAGATCGTCTTGCAGCGAAATATACTTTTATATACATTGCAGCTCTCTCACGTTCTAGTTCCTGGGTCAGTGGTACGATGTCGCACACAATATCGACGCCTTGGATTTCTTTGACTACAAATGCGGGAAAGTGTCTCTTCAAAGTGTTGGCGGGAACACCAATATAAGATCAAGCACTGTGAACTCAAGGTTTGTAGTGCGAAGGTAGATGTACGTAAAAGGCTTTGCCAGACCCACGAAGGACTGTGGTGCGGGCATCCAAGTCGAATCGAGGTAAGAGAGAATGATGCAGGCCCGCTAGTGTGTCATACGAATAGGGTATTTCGGGTAAGCGAAGCATCGGAATCGGAACGGCCGAGCGCCGAGCGGCCGCTGGATCCGTCTCAGCCTGCAAACTGCGCATGCGCAGTAGACTCTACGCCGCCCCGCAGCCCTCCCCCCCTCCCCCGCGGATCAACGACACGTAATATGCAACCAGCGGTGGACTGGGCAGTTCCGTTTCCGCCGCTCCACTTACCCAAAATACCCTACTGACGCTAAAGTAGTTTTTAAAACCGGCCGGCCGCGCGGCCCGGGCGGGCGCGACCCATAGCGGGCCACAGCGTCCAGCCGCAGACGGCTGCGGCCCCGGCCCGACATGCGCGTCGATATGAGCTTCGTTCTCGAAAACCAGAAGTCGTATCAAAGTGCGGCAAAAAGGAATGTAAAGTTTAAAGTCAGGCGGAAAATCGGCCTTCTTTATGTAGATTGATAGCTCGTCTCGTAGCATGAGAAAATACGGGTCGAAAAAGCTCTTGTGTGCTCGGATAACAGCCCATTTTTCCAAACGGCCCTGATCGAGTACGAGGCCTTCAATCACAAAAGGAACTATACCATTGTAATCCTCACACTTTCACCTTTATTTTGATGTAAAGGTCGATGAACTTTGTTTTAGTTAAGTACCCAAGAATGCAATTTTAGTTTATGCTGACACACGCTCCGCCCGGCCGGCGGTGCGCTATGGGACCAGTGCTTCTAGCGATCCTGGCGGCCAAAAGGGGCAGTCGCCATCCTCATTAAGCTAGCGACTTGAGATTTTCAGGGTCTTTTTGTACTACTCAAAGACACATTGAGTTCGTAGATGAGCATTCTACCTCAAAAATTGGATTTAAATAAAATTAAAATACAGCAGGCCCCCAAAAAGGCGTTTTTCGAACAACAAAAAAATGGTGTCCTGAGGAGTTACAAATCAAAGAAGAGCCCTTTTCGCTACAATGTTGTCCGGGCTGCTCTTGTACATACCGTGGGGGCACTCTAGAGGTTATTTTTTGCGACATTAAACGAAAATAGTGAGAACCATGCATGCTGGCCCTTATCTTTGTGTACTTATTTCCACTCCTCGACTCGGGTCTCAGCGTCGCAGGCCAAAGTAGATGTAAGCCAGGCGCGGCGCAGCGTAACAGTGTTTCGCTTAATATCGTGAAGCCTGTTGCGCAAAACGTGGTCTGGCGTACATCTACCTTGTTTACTTTGAAGATTAAACCAGTTAAGTTACAATTGCCGCAAATTGTAAATAGCAAGAAGGACAATAGATTGGGCTTCATTTAGCAGTCTGTATCAGTAATATGTCTATAAACGGAGTTGGCAAGAAGTGCACTGTAAAAAACACTGTAATTTTACAGAAAATGTTTAGCT